TTGCCAACTTTCTCAATCGGTTTTGGGTTGCTGTAGCAGAATACCATGGACTGGGTAACTTACAAAGAACAAAAAAAAAATTCCCTCACAGTTCAGAAGGCAGAGCGGTCCGAGACAAAGTTGCTGGCATCAAAGGAAAGCGTTCCTACTATGATACCCCAGGGGAGATGGCGAGAGGGTGACTGGTGGCTGACCTTAGCCTTTTAAAAGGAACCCACTCCTGGCTTAGCGCTGTGGCATAGTAGGCTAAGCCTCCATCTTTGGTGTCAGCATTCCATATAGGCACCAGTTTGAGTCCTGGCTGTGCCACTTCTCATTCAGCTCCCTGTATATGGCCTGGGCAAGCAGTGGAGGATGGCTCAGGTCCTTGGGCCCTGCATCCATGTGGGAGACGGGGAAGAAGCTCCCGGTTTGAGATCATCTCTACTCTGGTCATTGTGCTCATTTGGAGAGTGAGCCAGTGGATAAAAGACCTGTGTATGTGTCTATGTGTGTATCTCCTTTTATCTCTGTCTTTTGAATAAAAATAAACATTTTTCCTTAAAGAAAAAAAAACCACTCCTGTGATATTCTTCCATGAGGGCAATGTCCCCATGACCTTAACTTTTCCCATTAGGCTCCACCTGCAGACACCTGTGCAGAAGAGCTCCACTTTGCGACACATGAACTTTGGGGATCACATCTGAACCATGGCACCGACCAAGCTGTTCTTATCTGTTTGGCAAAACAAGCGCTTACTTTGTAGAACAGTAAAACATGGAGCAAGATTTGCATGTAAAAGGCAGCTGTTAGCTAGCAGTCCGTCCTGGAGGAGCTGCTCAACCAGGGCTGTCACCTCCTGCCTACTAACGCCCTGCATGCACAGGGTGACTACAAGCTCCAATCCTACACTAATTGGGTTGCTCAAACCGAACAGGCAACCCACCTGCAGAGAAAGAACAGGTGGTTCAAGATGGTGGAGACAGGCTGAGGGCCAGTGCTGCATGCAATCCAACTGCTGTGGGACTTGCAAATAGAGGGTGCAGCCTCAAAGTTCCACATTTCTCAAAATGAAATGTCCAGTTCATTGCCGGACAGCGGCAGTGTGTGTAAAAAGCTGTGCCAGGCACACTGTAAGTTCTGGTATACCCACGTCTTGAGAGAGACTGCAGTCAACCCGGTCTTGGATTTCTCTAGTCTCCCTGGCGCTTGCTACCACAGCGATCTAACCACCATGTGGCTCTGATGGACAACCTGCACACCTCCAGTGGCGCGCTCCATCGCTGTCGACAGTCCCAAGTCCCCTACACAGTGGCCACATTCCCCTCTTGCCGCCCTCCCTTCCCAGATGCTCAACCGGCTTCCTGCTCCTCGCTCTCACCTATGAACTCACAGGGCCAGCTGCTGATTCTTCAGGGTTTGTTCCTAGTCCAGATGATACACAGTCAGTTGGATAGATCTTTTTTCTTTTTTTTCATACGAAAGACAGGATCTGGCCTGCTGTTTACTGTCATCACTGTGAAACCCAGACACAGGTCCCCCAGAGGATGGAAGCCTCCCCTCTCCGTGCCACAACCCCAAGGAGCATGACAGCCTGAACAGAGCAAGACAAGGACACAGGAGAAAGCACGGCATGTGCAAAGGCAGGAAATGATGCATGCACGGGCGCCTTCTCACCCTGGCCCAACAGCTTGCAGGTCTTCCTCTTCCCACGGAACAGGTGGAGTCGACAGCCCCAGAAATCCACCTGCTTGTGACCTGCCCCCTCTGTGCAGGGGCGGTGGGTATTTGAGGACTGAGGTGGCCATGGCCACGAGCAGCACGTGGACATGCTGTCTCCCATGGCCCATCTTGGGCCCTGGCGAAAAGGACAGTACTGGCCTGGAGTCCAGTGGCCAGCAGGTGCTTGCTGGCTGCAGTGCTGGACTCAGTCCTCTGACCTTTGGCCCTGGATATAATTCTAATATCTCCCCTAGAAGACAAACCTGCTGAAGATAGCATGCCTTCTTTCTTCCATGTGTCTCAGCACACAGTGCCTTACTCATGGTAGTGAGAGCTTATAATTAATGGGTGTGGACTATGTGCTGGGAACTATTCAAGGTGCCTTACATGACCATATCAACTGATTTCATTTCCACAACAAGTCTGGGCAGTAGGTAGTATTTTTTGTTTTGGTTAGATATTTATTTTATTTGAAAGGCAGAGTGATAGAGCAAGAAAGGGAGAGAAAACGGCCCAGTGCAATGGCTCAACCAGATAATCCTCCCTGACCAAGTGCTGGGACCCCATATGGGCACCGGTTCGTGTCCCGGCCGCTCTGCTTCCCATCCAGCTCCCTGCTTGTGGCCTGGGAAAAGAGCTGAGAATGGTCCAAGGCTTTGCAACCTTGTACCTACATCTGATGCTCCTGGCTTCAGATCGGCTCAGCTCCAATTATTGCAGCCATCTGGGGAGTGAACGAACCAACAAGTGGAAGATCTATCTCTCCTTCTCTCTGTAAATCTGCCTTTCTAATACAAATAAATAAATCTTGAGTCCGGTATGGTGGCCTAGTGACTAAAGTCCTTGCCTTGAATGCTCGGGATCCCATATGGGAGCCGGTTCTAATCCTGGCAGCTGCACTTCCCATCCAGCTCCCTGCTTGTGGCCTGGGAAAGCATTCAAGAACTGCTCAAAGCTTTGGGACCCAGCACCCGTGTGGGAGACCCAGAAGAGCTCCTGGCTTCAGATTGGTTCAGCTTCAGCCGTTGTAGCCGTTTGGGGAGTGACCCATCAGACAGAAGATCTTCCTCTTTGTCTCTCCTCCTCTCTGTACATCTGCCTTTCCAATAAAAATAGATAAATCTTTAAAATAAATAAATATTTTTAAAAACGTCTAAAAATAAAAAAAAAAAAATGAAAGGGAGAGAAAAGAGATCTTCTAGCCAATCATTCACTCCCCAGTTGGCCACAATGGTCATGGACGGGCCAGGCCGAAGCCAGGAACTCCATCTGGATCTCCCATGTGGGACCCTGGGATTCAGTGGCTGGGTCGTTGTCCACTGCCTTCCCAGGCACATTAACAGGCGGCTAGATGGGAAGTGGGACAGCCAGGAATTAAAGTGGTGCTCAGATACGGGACAGTGGTGTTGCAAGTAGCAAGCAGGTTAACATGCTGTGCCGCAATGCTGTCCCCAAGGAGTAGGTACTATCATGTTTCCCATTTTACGTATCAAGAAACAGTTCCAAAGAGGGATACGTAACCTGCCAGTTACGTACCTAGGAAGTGACAATCTAGGAAACCCAAACAGTGTGCCTGCAGAACCTACGTCACATCCACCACCATGCAGTGCACACTCATGCCAGCTTCCGCAAGAGCTTTAAAAACTGTACAGGAACAGTGCCCTGAGTGTCCCACAGGGCTTCCTGTGCTGAGACGAATGTCTCCCGAGCAGGGCAGAGCCTCCATGACCAAACCCCGGGAGGGAGACGCACACAGACAGGTGTCCTCCCCTGTGTGTCCTTGGAACTGCCAGCAGCAAGTCCACTATTCAGGAGAGGTCTCTGAACCTGTTGTGGCCTGAGCCAAGAGCCACAATAAGCCCCTTTTGTTGCTAGAGTTGTCTCCCTTTATTATGTTGTAATGACACAGAGGCTAGCAGAATGACAAACACAAGAAAACAACAAGTCCCACAGAAGGAAGAGTCTGCACGATCTCTGAGGAAGGGGAAGCAGCAGAGGCCAGCAGGTGTCAGAGGCGGACCCCAGCTGTGTCCTATCCACCTTCAGCCAGCCTTCAGCTTCTCGCAGTCGGCACCGTTGGACTAATGAAGCGATCAAGTGAATTGGTACAACAGTAAACACAGGCTTGCCACACAGTTGATTAATGATACATGTTGCCTCTAAAAGGTAAGTTTTCTTTGCCACATGATTAATCAACAATTACAAAACAGTACTACTTGGTCATCCTAAGGACTTGTCTTGGTGCTTTTGGAACATATGCTGACAGGATGGAACTAAACTAATTTTCTTAACGCTTCAAATTGCACTAATTACCTAGAGTTAAGGAGTCTTGCCTCTGGGCATTCAAAACAGCAATTTTTGCCCTAGTGGCTAAAGTCCTCACCTTGCACGCACCAGGATCCCAAATGGGCACCGGTTTGTATCCCAGCGGCCCTGCTTCCCATCCAGCTCCCTGCTTTTGGCCTGGGAAAGCAGTGGAGGATGGCCCAAAGCCTTGGGACCCTGCACGCCCCCCCACCTCCCGTGGGAGACCAGGAAGCAACTCCTGGCCCCTGTTTTCCAATCCCGCAGCTCTGGCCATTGCGGCCATGTGGGGAGTGAATCAACGGACAGAAATCTTCCTCCCTGTATATCTGACTTTCCAATAAAAAGAAAATAAATCTTACAAAAAAAAAAAAAAACCCTGCAGTTGAAGAGCCCTTAAATCATCAAAGCGAATTCAGAGGCAGTGATAAGTCTCACTAGAAAGCATGAAGACTGGCAAAGATGCACGTTAAGAAAGAGACCAGCACAGCCCAGGTTTGAGGAGGCGAACCTGGGGAGCCCACCCAGGGAGGCTGCAGCCAGAAGTCCTGGGACCCACGAGGTCCCTGGCCGTGTTCCCGCAGGACGGGGCAGCAGGGGCCACCGCTTGACAAAGAGAGCGAGGGGTGCAAGCAACGGGCACAGGTGGGTTAGGGCCTCGGTGAGATGACAACCCTACCAAACGCTTGCAAAGGTTATCTTGTTGGCTGACGTCGTCCTCCGACTCCACGCAGAAAGGGCTTGCTGGGCGAAAGCTTCTAGGCCAGAATGGCAGCCCTCTCGCCCTCCTCCCCGAACCCCTCCTCTCCAAGACCAAAACAAAAACAGACAAACAAAAGCAGAGGCCTGGTCCAGAGATCGGAGCTGGGGGCAAGGTCTGAGGAGACGCGACCCCTGGACCGAGGAGGGTTCGAGCCTCAGTCGGGACCTCCGGGGCGAGGGGGTCAAGGTCGCCCCGGACCGCCACGGCGCTGGTCCTCGAAGCCCGCACTCACCAGCCTGCTGCCGCGCAGCAGCCGAGCCGCCACAAGCTCCATCTCCGCTACAGCTCCGTTCCGCTCGCCCGCCTCTCCTCGGCGCCGGGCCGGGCGCCAACGCCCCGGGGAAAAGCCGGCCGCCGCCCCGCCCCTCGCGCCCCGGCCCCTCACACACCCCTCGGCCGCGCCCCGAAGGCCTACGGGATCCCGAGAGAGACACACGCCGCCGGCGCGCTGCTCGCGCGAGACTTGCGCAGGCCGGGGGGGCGGGAAGCGAAGCGGAGACACAACAAACATGGCGGCCACGGGGACGAGGGCGACGGCGGCGGCGGCGGCGCTGAAGCAGGCGGCGGGGCTTGCCCGGTGTGGCTGTCGGGAGGTGAGGGCCGGGCGGCGGCGGCGCGGCTGAGCGGGCCGGGTGGGACGGCCGGGGGCGCGGCGGGCCGGCTGACCCCGGGAGCCCCAGCCTCAGCAGGCGAGGGTCGGGCGTGGTCCGTCAGGGGACGGTGTCACGACCCGGGCCCTTCCCGCCTGCCGGGGCCCGGGAGCGTCGTCGCCCGCGCCGTGGGCGCAGTTGGGCAGGCGGGAGCTCGGAGGCCAGCGGGGTGGGTGGCTGCTGCGTCTTGGCTCCGACAGGTGGTTGTGCGAGGGGGTGAGGGGCGCCCCGCCGTGGACGTGCTCCCGGGGACCCCCGGGGATGGGGGTCAGCTTGCCTTCTAGATGTTCCGAATCCTGGCGCGGATGTCTCGGAATCCTGATGTGGAGACTGGTTGGGGAGAGTGAGAGTGGGTGGACGGGGCCCGATGCTGTCTGCATTCGAACCTCCCACACCCACCCTCGGATTTGGGGAATGTGTGAAGTTTGGGGAAGACATTGCAAGAACGAACTCTCTCCCTTTAAAGATTTATTCATTTTTTGTTGGAAAGTCAGATACACAGAGAGAAGGAGAGACAGAAATATCCATCCACTGGTTCACTCCCCAGGTGGCTGCAACTGCCGGAGCTGAGCCAATCCGAAGCCAGGAGCCAGGAGCCTCTTCCTGGTCTCCCATGTGGGTGCAGGATCCCAAAGCTTTGGGCCATCTTCTTTCCCAGACCTCAAGCAGGGAGCTAGATGGGAAGTGGAGCAGCCGAGACTCAAACTGGCACCTATATGTTGCCCCGTGCATGCAAGAAGAGGACTTTAGCTACTAGGCTATACTGCCGGGCCCAAGAAAGAACTCAGGGTTCACTCAGGGTTTAGGTCTCTTAATGAACTCTCCGGAGGCCCTATAGGCTCCCCATCTCCATGAATCAACAACTCACCCTGGTCCACACTGACTGCATGGTCCATTCCGTGTCCTCTCAATGTGCTGACCAAGACTCTTAAGAGAAGTGACAGGTGGAAGAAAAAATGAAAAAGAGATATCTTAAGTTGTGAAATCTCAGGAAATTAAGAGGAGCAGAACTTTTCTTCAAGAAAAATAAATTTTTTTTAAGATATCAGGACTTAGAAGTTTTAAGTTCATTTTAAGTTTTGTTATGGCCAAAACTTCGTCACAAATTGATGTATTCTTGAGAGCTCCTCACAGTGAATTGGATGTTTGACGTTCCTGCCCCCCAGCTCTTCTGCTGCCCAGGAAAGCGTTAACTTGTTCTGTGTAAGATGGAGAGGACGTTGAAGGTGCATGCCTGTGCCTTGCTGGGTGTGCGGGTGGGTTTTTATTGTAACCATTTCCGGCAAGTGTGTTCCCCCTGCCAGGCCTGTGCGCTGTTTTTATGCCCGATTCCTGACCCTTGGGCAAGTGTGAGCAGATGAATGCGTTCAGAAAGACATGAAAGCATTTGCTGAGAACAAGGCCTTGAGGTGGCCGTCACAGACACGCGGAGCCATCTTGCTGTGTGGTGACGTGTCAGCCTCGTTTGCTCTTGAGCTGCTGGCAATGGTAATATTGGCGAGTTACTTTATAAGTTTTTGAAAGCTAGATGTTAATTAAGTTTCTGATTCCAAGTTTTTGCTTTGTGGTGTGCTGTGCTTTGAAGACCTCTGAGTGGTTTGTTGGTTGTTATTTGAAATTCCCTCCATGGCCTTTTGTCCCTTTGGGCTATCTCCAAAGTAAATGTGTGAGTTATTCTTTTTAAAGATTGATTTGTTCTTATTGGAAAGTCAAGTTTATAGAGAGGAGGTAACAGAGAGAAATATCTTCCATCCGATGATTCACTCTCCAAGTGGCCACAATGGCCAGAGCTGAGCCAACCCAAAGCCAGGGGCTTGTTCTGGGTCTCCCGTGCAGGTGCAGAGTCCCAAAGCTTTGGGCCGTCCTGGACTGTTTTCCCAGGCCACAGGCAGGGAGCTGGATGGGAATAGGTCTGCCAGGACACAAACCTGTGCCCATATAGGATCCCGGTGCATGAGGGCGAGGACTTTAGCCACTAGGCTCCAGAGCCAGGCCCCAGAATGAATCTTGATTTCATCCACATACTGTTGGACTGGCAAGAAAAAGGAGGAGCTAATTTGGGGCGGAGAGGTTAGATTGTGTAACTCCTGTCTTGGGTTTCTCCTGACATGATTCTGTTTCTGTTTTATATGATGTTTTCTGATTTCTCAAAGTCTCGTAACATTTCTTCCCGTGTTACTGCGGTCACACCGGGCCACGTCTCTGTCAACAGCCATTACGGCAGTGAGTTCCCTGCGAGTGTCAGGCACAGAAGCAGACGCAGCTGCTGGCACTGGGGAGTTAGCTGTTGGTGGTCTTCCTTACACTAGTGACCCTGAAACATTTTTCCAGGGAAAACTACATCAATAACGCAGACCCTGCTGTTTTCTAATCACATTGTTCTCAAAATTCTCCTGTAGTTTGTTTTCAAATATATAAGTAGGTTTTAGAAGGCGTGAGTTGAAGCAGCCCCTCTCTGGTCTGCGGGCGTTCCCTGTCATGGCTTGCCGTCGAGGCGCGCCTGCAGCCCCTTCTCAGCAGGTTGATTCTTCAGGGAGAGCTTCTGCTGTGTTTGTGTATGTGCGTGTGTCTATTGACAACTTCTCATGGATGACGTGAGCCTGAGAAAGCCTTCGTCCACGGTGAGTTCCAGCGCTCAGCCCCTGCAGACTGCGGACATTCACCCGCACAGCCCCTGCAGACTGCGGACGTTCACCCGCGCAGCCCCTGCGGACTGCGGACGTTCACCCGCGCAGCCCCTGCGGACTGCGGCCGTGCACCCGCGCAGCCCCTGCGGACTGCGGCCGTTCACCCGCGCAGCCCCTGCGGACTGCGGACGTTCACCCGCGCAGCCCCTGCGGACTGCGGACGTTCACCCGCGCAGCCCCTGCGGACTGCGGACATTCACCCGCACAGCCCCTGCGGACATTCACCCGCACAGCCCCTGCGGACTGCGGACATTCACCCGCACAGCCCCTGCGGACTGCGGACATTCACCCGCACAGCCCCTGCGGACTGCGGACATTCACCCTCTGCGCTGCCAGCGCCTAGAGCTCAGATACATTTCTTTCTTCCATTTGCCTCGAACTTTTTGTTTGTTTGTTTTAAAGGTATCTTTTATTGGAAGTCAGATTTACAGAGAGGAGACAGAGAGAGGGCTTGTCCCTTCGCAGATTCACTCCCCAAGTAGGCACAGCGAGCAGAGCTGAGCCAATCCGAAGCCAGGAGCCAGGAAATTCTTCTGGTTCTTCCATGCGGGTGTAGGGCCATTTTCCACTGGTTTCCCAGGCCACAAACAGGGAACTGGAAGGGAAGGGGAGCAGCCAGAACATGAGCCAGCGCCCACGTGCGATCCTAGGTGCATGCAAAGCAAGAATTTTAGTCACTAGGCTACCGCTCTAGGCCCCCTCAGGTTGTTTATTAAGGCGTTGTTTTTGAGCTTCAAATGGACAGTTGAGGGGAAGCTATGGGCATAAAATAACGTAGATATACACTGACTAGTTTCTGTGTTCACCTGTACTTCTGGAGTTCCGCAGTAGACTCAGCTTAACTTCAGAGTCCTCCCGGGAAGGACTCAGCCGTAGTCGCGTGACGTGTGGGAAACAGTTCTCCTTGATTAGCTGGTGACTGGTCTGTTTCAGCTGCGGCTGCTCTAACCAGTTACTGTAGACTGGGTAGTGCGAGCAAGCATTTCCCGCTCTCCTGGGGCCTGTACCTGTGACAGGCTGCTTCCGGGCTGCGTCTTCCGGGGGCAGCGATCGGAGAGCAGAGAGAAGGCAGCTTCTCTGTGTCTGAGGAAGGCTCTGCCCGCACAGCCTCGCCGCTGCGCTGCGCTCGGCGTTACCAGCATGCCGAGACCTCCAGGCCAGAGCAGCACCGGGGAGGGGTGACGTGCCTGGGAGTCAGCCCTCCGTCTGCAGTGACTCGCGGGTGCCCGTTTCGGGCCTGGTGGCACGACCTTGCCTGCTGGAATTGTGTGTAAGCAGTTTGTGACCCGCAGGCTGCTCGGGCTTCAGTTCGCAGCCAGAACAGCATCACTGGGGCGGGGATCAGTTCGCTGGTTTCCCCAGGTTGTAACCGTGAGGTTTTGCAGTCCGTCGGCGTCCCGGAGGCGGTGTGGGGGAGCGGTTGATCGGCTGGATTTCAGTTCTCACACTGGTGATTATTCATTTTTTTTTTTTAAGATTTGTTTGAAAGGCAAAGTGACAGACAGGGAGATGGAGAGATCTTCATCTACCTGTTCCCTGCCCAAATGCCACAATGGACGGGCCTGGTCCAGGCTGCAGCCAGCGCTGGAACCTCATCCAGGTCTCCCGTGTGGGTGGCAGGGGCTCAAACACTTGGACCATCTTCTGCTTTTCTGGGTCTGTTAGCAGGGAGTTGGAATGGAAGTGGAGCAGTCAGGACTAGAACTGGTGCCTTAGCCCACTGCAGCACTGCATCAGCCCAGAGTTGCCATTTTTTTTTCAATGACTGTGCTTTCAAATTTCAACTTGAGATGGAGAAAGCTGTTTTAAGATAAGGAGTCCTTGGGGTCCGGTGCTATAGCCTAGTGGCTAAAGTCCTCACCTTGCACGTGCTAGGATCTCATGTGGTTCATATCCCAGTGGCCCCGCTTTCCGTCCAACTCCCTGCTTGTGGCCTGGGAAAAGCAGTAGAGGACGGCCCAAAGCCTTGGGACCCTGCACCCACATGGGAGACCCAGAAGAAGCTCCTGGCTCCGGGCTTCGGATTGGCTCAGCTCCAGCCATTGTAGCACTTTGGTGTGAAAGAGCAGACGGAAGATCTTCCTCTCTATCTCTCCTCTGTATATCTGACTTTCCAATAAAAATAAATAAACATTTTTTTGAGAAAAGATAAGGGGTCCTCGAGACGTGGGCACCTTTGAATGTGCCCCTGGAGCTCTGCAAGGACCGCTTGTGCCTGCTGGGGTGGGTGGATGTGATGCCTCAAGTCGCAGACCA